ACTGATGTTGCATTATCCGGTTGGAGTAGATCCATTCTCACTGGATGATGAATACATGTGTCAGAGGAGAGATTAAGTAATGAGGAGGCAGGTGCAGTTTATAAAGAATTTAAACAGAGTATCAGGAGAAGGAAGTGAGGAAAACCAAATAGTCATGACACCTTACGGGGATTCTCTGAAAAAATGCCCAGCAAATATGCACGCTCTACAATGAGTTAACATCATGAACCTATGATGAAATTGTTTTTTAATTTGAAAATATTTAATTGACAAATAAAGGTCATATACATTCAAGCCGAACAATGTGATGATTTGATAGGTGCACACATTGTGTAATGATTATCACAATCAAATTCATACATTCGTCACCACCGATGCTGTACCTTCGATGCCAGAACTTGTTCATCCTGTAACTGAAAGTTTGTATCTGTGTTGATCAAATTGAAATGCAACTGAATCCATTTGAGAAGATTGCCCTAGTGTTGCCTCTGAACAAATGAGGCTTTGTCAGAACTGCTCATTTGCTTCTTTACCAACCACTAAGTAGAGTTTAATGTGAGAAATGATGCTCAAGTAGAAGTCTATCCTTCTCAGATGAACTTTCTTTTTAAGCCATGCTTTAAAATTCTGTCACTGGCTCTGACAGTCTATTAATATGCCAAGTACAGATATGTTTTGACCTAATTTTCTTCAATTTGAACTTCAGCCTAAAATAACCTGGATGAAAAACAAAGTTGCTATTGTGGATGACCCAAGATACAGGATGTTCAGCAACCAGGGAGTCTGTACCCTGGAAATTCGCAAGCCCAGCCCCTATGATGGAGGCACGTACTGCTGCAAAGCAGTCAATGACCTTGGGACAGTGGAGATTGAATGCAAACTGGAGGTGAAAGGTATGACATCCAATATCTTATGTATAGACTAAAGCTAAAGGAAATCATTGAATTATTGTTCTTAATGCAAAATCCACACTGCTTGCCAAAATGCTGCAGCAAGAGTGAGAGAGGGTGGTGGGGGCGAGGGAAGCAGGGAGGGAATTCAGGGAGACAAGACATTTTTACATTCTGCATTTACTTTGCTTCATTTGTGGAAGGCTACTGGATTATTTAAGTTAACTTATTTTTATCTTACATGATTCACGTTAACTAAGGGACTGTTAATTTCAGTGGAATGTTAGTATGTGTACAGCATGGTAAGAATGAATAAAGTCAAGGGGCTATCACTTTGGTGACATAATCCATCGATAAATAGAAGCCTAGTATAAAACTCCATCTATTGAAATGGCAATTGAGGAATGTGCACTATTTTTAATTTTATTTTTAATTAGTTTACTATTTCATAAAGCTTATTTTCTGACATTTTTATAGTTTTGCTAAGTGTTTGATATTACACATATAGAATATAGCATACACATATTATAACAGGATGCTTTTCAAAACTCTAACTAGAGAACTTCCATTTATAGGTATACATTTCATTGATACTAGTTTTCAGAAGTGTGGCAACTCATGCAAACCAAGAAAACACATAAGGATTTATGTGATTTAAAAGTCTCAGCATAACCTGCCATCTTAATCAATTTTCATATTAATCAACTACCATTTTTACACTGACATTTTTCTTTAAAAGCAGAACCTATTCTGGGACACCATGAAAACCCCTTCAAAGAGTCACCATTATGAGATAATAGGTGACATGATCCTAGTGTGTTTTCCCTCATTCTTAACTGTATTATATTGCCATTCTGTAATAACCAAAATCTTTCTTTTTTCAACATCTCTATAATGAAGAAATTATGATCTAAAACTCAGAAAGTAAATATCTATTTTAGAAAATCATAGTAAATGTCTGAGTATTTATGTTTTTTTTTAAGAGTCTTTTAGTCCTAAATCTAGTATAAATATGATGGAGAAACCTCTTCAACAAAATAACTTCCTCATATATATGTATGTAATATATTTTTTTAACTATTTTTATTTAGACAGAGTCTCACTCTGTTGCTAAGGCTGGAGTGCAATGGTGCAATCTCAGCTCCTGCAACCTCTACCTCCTGGGTTCAAGCAATTCTTGTGCCTCAGCCTCCCAAGTAGCTGGGATTACAGGCATGCACCACCACACCCAGCTAATTTTTGCATTTTCAGTAAAGACAGGGTTTTGTTATCTTGGTCAGGCTGGTCTCAAACTCCTGGCATCTGGCAATCCACCTGCCTTGGCCTCCCAAAATGCTGGGATTACAGGCATAAGCCACTGTGCCCACCCACTTTCCTCTTATAACATTTTTAAGCTATACTCTTTCTCTTATAATTCATAATTGAAAGAAAAAGGATTTGATTTTTTTCTCACAAATATAAGGCATATAATATTCTTAGAAAATTTCAAGCCTTACTATTGAGATAATCCTTACAAACTTAAATATTGTTTTTAGCTGCTCTTTTGGCTTTAAATGATTATTAAGGTCACAATTGCAAATCATCTGTTTTCTAGACTGCTAGCCTTATTAGTTCTATGGTATTGTTGATGCTTTTGTTTCAATATCCTCCAAAAAAACAAAAACTTTTAAAAAAAGTACCACTTATTTATGCTTTGAAACTAGCTGAATATTGTTAATGACATACAATGGTGCTTTAACAAATGGAACAATATTTGGGGTCCTCTTTAAAAGCAAATACTATTGAATAGTATTATACATATACATGTTATATTCTTTTTAGTGATAATATAGTAAATTGTACAGTAATTGAATTTGATAAACAGAATAATGTATTCTAGTACATAAGTTCATAATAAAGTAAGTATTCACTGTGATATATTGATAAAAGCTTTTGGTCCTAAAAGTAAAGCTGAAATTGTTTATCATCAGATTGTTATCTGATAATAGGTAACTTGAATCAAGTTAAGCTGTGAAAAAAGGTAAGAATGTCAACTGAGAATAAATAAATACTGGTACAAATATTCTGATTCTGCAGTGATATATCAAGGAGTAAATACCCCTGGACAACCAGTCTTCCTGGAGGGGCAGCAACAGGTTTAAAAAGTTTATATCCCACTGGATATTCTACTTTCCGTTCCATTCCTCTTACATGAAAACGCACTTTGCATGTAAAGCTTGACTTTCTCATTTGCTTTTCACTGTATCTCTTAGCAGCTCATGGCATACAGTGTTTATGCCATGAACAAGGAAGGCCAAATTATTCAAGGATATTAAGTAATGTAGAAACTAAGTTTGTCAGAAAACTACGTACTACACCACATGTGCCCATAAATAAAGCTGGAAAGCTACATTTGAAGATGATCTCATTTTATGTAATAAGACTATCAAAACTTGGAAATCAATATTTCTTTAATATTTTCATTTTGTAAACATAGAAAGACTTTTTAAAAGATAGTTTACACCATAGTTTCCTTACATTCATAATGTGATTCAGAGAACTGAACATTTTAAGCATCTTTAAAAAATGGCCTGAGCATTTCTAATAAAGTGGATACAAAAATAGATCCAATATTTAGAGGCCGGGCATGATGGCGCTCACCTGTAATCCCAGCACTTTGGGAAGCTGAGGTAGATGGATGGCTTGAGCCCAGGAGTTCAAGACCAGATTAGGCAATATAGCAAACTCCCATCTCTACAAAAAGTACAAAAATTAGCCAGGTGTGGTGGCACATACCTGTAGTCCTAGCTACTTGGAGAGCTGAGGCAGGAGGACCGCTTAAACATGGGAGGTCGAGGAGGCTTCAGTGAGCTGAGATCTCCAGCCTAGGTGACAAAATGAGACTTTGTCTCAAAAAAATAAAAAATTTAAAAAAATGGGAAACTCACATATTTAAAATATTCCCATTACAAATTCACCAGTAGAATATCTGTAACCCATCTACCTGTTGAAGATTTTGGACATTTTCATAGGGACTCAAATTATTTCATATGTTTATGAACTTAAAAGGAAAGAAAATTCTAGGCTCTATTACAAAATGTAGTAAGCAATAAATGAGTACTATCATATATGTGTGATTCACTCCCATTTGGAATTGCAAATTAAGAGTTATTTGCAGCTGGGTACACAACCTAATGAAAACCCTAATGATGTAGATCTATGTCCGAGTGTACAAAATTTGTTTTGTGAATTTCCAAAGTTAATATCAGCTTTCAATAGGAAAAAAGTAAGGTTCTTTCTTGAAAACTTTGTAGTTTGTATATAGAGTGGCTTTGTGACATAAGGTTAAGTTTTGTGTCTATTTAGATCAGTCATAGATATTCCATTCAGAACACAATATTATAGAATACACTAGTCTAATATTTATACTTGATAATTTTGCCTTTTAGAATTTCAACATATATATATGTACACTAACACTTTGTCTATTTTCTATGTTTTTCTTTTGTTGAAAAACACAATATATATATGTTGTAGGGTTTTGGTTTTTGTTTTAAGCTAATGGTTTGGAAGCTCTTACCATAGATATTCACTATACAATCAGATTGGCTTTGTCACCTATTCAGGCAAAGTGGTTGTGCATATTAATAAATGTTTTACATATTAATGATCCTTTTGACGTGACTGGATCCTCACCCTTTATTTCATGTGCTTCTATTTTCCTACATCTTTCACATGACTAAGGATTAATGAAATCACCTCATCATAATCATGACCATAATTTCATCCAACAAGTACTCAACTTTGGTGTTAGCACTTTATTAATGCTTACAACTTCTCTCTCTCCCTCTTTCTCTCTTTTCCTTAGTTGTTGCACAATAAGGATTTTTGAATGTATAATATCATCTAAGGTAAGCTTTCATATGGTTTTGGCATATGAAGCTTATGACTGTCATAAGCCATACCAAGCCTGTGGAGTATGGCATGATTTTCATTATGTAATCCAATGAAAATAGACTTATTTTAAATCGCTAACTTTGTAGTTTTAATTTGTATTTCACTATCCTGAAATTAACAGCTAGTACTCATCCATCACAGCAACCTCCTGTTGACATGAAGCAAGTTGTTGAATGCAGTAGAGCATGAATCAAAGCATTTAATGTAGACAAAAACGAGTGATACCCAAGCATCCTGAATTATTTGCATCAAGGAATGGACATGTACATAAGTGGCATCATTTCTACCAATATGTGACTTGAGTTGTTTTTTTTAAAAAAAGGAGAATGACTTTCTCAAATTTGCATTAAAGAAGTTTTTAAGAATGTTCAAATGGCATGCTGCTTTGTCTGGACGTGAATTTATTAGCAAGTAGTGAAGCACTTCACTAAAGGATCATGAATTTTTGTGATTTCATGGATTCTCTCTTGAAGGGTACTTTTATTTTTTTAATATAATTAAGAAACTCAGAAGGTAGGTATGAAATATTGGTAGGTGTTTCTCTCACCTTCAGAAAGTATTGGACCGATCTTATTATAATTTTAATAAAATATTTCCGATTTCCTTTTTGGGCTTTTGACATGCATAAATGGCCAAAGTTAAAGGGAGTAGATTTTCTTTTCCAATGTGCTTGAATCAGAACTCTCTGTGCTTAATTAAAAAGAACATTAACAAACTGGAAGCAGATCTTCCCACTGATCCATAACGTGGTATGCATGTATTCTGCTATTCAGTCAGAACATTTAAATCATCTATGAGGAATCACAAAACCTCTCAAAGAGCAGTAAGTATTTTCCAACCACTTGCGAATTTAAATGAAGATTGAACAATAGTAGGGGAAAAACTGTGTTCTGCTGGGAATTTGCTTTTCCTTCTAGATGCCAAGTGCTTTAAATTCTAAATGTACTAAAACCAGGAGAAGATTTACAAGTAGAGACTGAATGAATCTTTGTAACTAACGGGAACATAATTAGTCACATTTCCAGGCAGCTAGTCAAGAAGTATTGTTTTAGCGATTTTTCACGTAGATGGTTTTGATTTGTCTCTTTTCCTTTTTGTCCTCGCTAGGTGGGCTGTCCTTCTGCAGGCTCCTCTTGCAAGGCGTACCTCCAAACATAATTGATTCATATTTGCGAGACTTGCACTCAAGCAATCCTGAGGAATACTGAGGGCCTGGCCACTGCCTCTCTGCACTCTGCTGCTTTGAAATCTGGTTGAAATGAGAAAGCATTTTCTGTTTTTCCATCTGGCCCCCAAGCGTGGTCTTTTTCTTTCCTCCTAATGTCGAAGAGAAAAAATAAACATGTTTGCCCAGATTGCTTAATTAAAAATTGCAAACAAAATTTCATTTGAGGTCAGCACTTTGGTTATTGTTATCTGTGCTTTGTCATTGTATTATACTTGACAAAAATGCAAGCCATAGAATAAGCAAAACCAGTCAGTTTAATAGTAGGCTATAAATGCTGCTTTCCCTCTCAGAGTCAAAAACGTAATACAATATACCATGATTGAATCTTGAAAACCCATCTTTCTCTTGATCCAATAGATTTTTCTAAGCAAAGCAGAGTTGTTTATTTCTGCTTCAAAGGACAAACCCAGGTCTGTCCTTCCTGAGTCTCTAGCAAGGCATCTTGGCCAAAGCTGCCAGAGTGTCTGCCAAAACAGCTAGTCATAGTGACTGAGGGTGTTACAGATGACAGGAGTTTGCTGATGGTATCCATTCAATTTGATGGAAACCTTTTTTAAATATCTACCGCTCTGCTTAACAACAGGATCTGTGCCCTTTTTTCTTATTTAAATTTGATAAAGTATTTTTTAGAGTCTAACTTCCAAACTAAACCTCTCAGAAGAAGGGAAATTGAATTCAGTAAATGGTACAATAAATCTGAAGTGTTTGTGATGAAATCATACAATATTCATTTATGCATTTGGGGTTGTGTGCCCAGACACAGAATGCCGAGGATAAAGGCTGGGAGCCAGCATGCTCCTGAACCCAGGTCTGTCCTTCCTGAGTCTCTAGCAAGGCATCTTGGCCAAAGCTGCCGGAGTGTCTGCCAAAACAGCTAGTCATAGTGACAGAGGGTGTTGCAGACGACAGACCTGTTACAGAGTTAGGGTTTGCTGATGGTATCCATTCAATTTGATGGAAACATTTTTTAAAAATCTATCAGCTGAGAAACATTTATATTAACCCATAATCTTTTCAGCAACTTCCTTTACTCTTCCTGATATGAAGTTCCGGTTAAGGGAGTAGAATTGAACTGTAAGATACCACACCATTATTGTTTCTTTCCTTCCCTCTCCTCTGTTTTTCTTTTTGGTCTTCGGTTGCAGGGGCTAAATATATTGTGACTTGCTGGTGGGCCCATGGCCTCTTTAAATGACATTTTTGTTTGTTTTGTTTTTTGACATGGAGTTTCATTCTTGTTGCCCGGACTGGAGTGCAGTGGCACGATCTTGGCTCACTGCAACCTCCAACTCCCAGGTTCAAGTGATTCTCCTGCCTCAGCCTCCCAAGTAACTGGGATTACAGGCATGTGCCACAACCCCCTGGCTAATTTTGTAATTTTAGTAGAGACAGGGCTTCTCCATGTTGGTCAGACTGGTCTCAAACTCCTGGCCTTAGGTGATTTGCCCACCTTGGCCTCCCAAAGTGCTGGGAATACAGGCATGAGCCACTGTGCCCAGTTTACTGGATGACATTTTAAACATATCTGCTCTGTCTCCTTTCCAGATTATAGCTGGGAAGTTCTATGGTGGTCATGGATCTCGGTTGACATTGGGCTCGTAAAGAGAAGAGTGAATGATCCCGGTTGTCGCAGTACATTTGAGACCAACAGAAAAGTCTAGTTTATGTCCAAACTATGGTGGCTCTACATATCTCTGTTGGGATTGGTTGGTGATCTTGCCTTACTGGTTATTAAGAACATTGGCTATCACCCCTGTTCCTATGCTCCCAGTAACTCCAGAATAATAATGTGTGCAATCCCTGTGTAAACACCAATTTTGATCAAGAAAGTTATATGCACAGTATTGGCTAAGATAGTTTACACAAAGGAAGTCTGGCTCATATATAAAGACAGGAAGACCTTCTGTCTGTGTACAAACCAACAAAATGACAATGTGGCAAACCCAATTAACGTGGCCCCTGCAGCCCAGCTGCTGGGTATGAGCTGTGGCACAGCAGCTGAGCTGGCTGCTTAACTCAAATACTCACTGAGCAGTTTTGCCAAGACACTGATCAAGCTGGTTAGGCCACTTACATGGTATATCTTTACACAACCTAAAAGTAACTGTAAAACCTCCTTATTGAATTCTGATTCCTCACTTATGACTTAGGCTCTTTAATTATATTTTGTACTAGATAATGTTACTTTTCTACATATAATCTTTTCATATATTAAAGGCACATATACACTGCAAAGTTCTAATAAGGAAGAAAAAGTCTATTAGGAAACTGTAAAGAGAAAAAAAATCAGAAGCTGTCATTATGATTGGTTTTTCTATAATTTTGTTTAAATTTCACTCCATCAAAAATTACATATCACAGGAATTTACCAAAAATTATTTTGGGGAACTAAACATTCATTAAAAATTTTAGGCTGAGCATGGTGCCTCACGCCTGTAATCCCAACACTTCTAAGAGGCCGAGGTGGGCAGATCACTTGAGGCCAGAAGTTTGAGACCAGCATGTGCATCATAGTGAAGCCTTGTCTGTACTGAAAATACAAAAATTTATTGGGTGTGGTGGCATACACCCGTAGTCCCAGTTACTTAGGAGGCTGAGGCACAAGAATTGTTTGATCCTGGGAGGTAGAGATTGCAGTGAGCCAAGATCACACCACTGTATTCTAGCCTGAGCAACAAAGTGAGATCCTGTCTAAAAAAAAAATTTTTTAAGGCTCATGTTTGTTTATTTACCTTAAAAGAAGGCTTAATGAATGTTCTCATCTGGATTATATCAAAGTAGAAAAAAAACACTAATTTTAAGAGGCATTGGAACAAGGTAATATGCCTTTAATCATTAACTTTTATAATAGATTCTGAAATACTATTCAGCTCAACAAATTAGTTATTAAATTCTGTGCATAGCACTGTAATGGATTCAGCTTGCAACTTGATAAGTAAGTTACTTCAGGTTGGGTGCGGAGGCTCATGTCTGTAATCTCAGCACTTTTGGAGGTCAAGGCAGGCAGATCACTTGAGTGCAGGAGTTTAAGTCTAGCCTGGGCAAGACAGCAAAACCCCGTCTCTACAAAGAGTTAGCCAGGCGTCACAGTGCATGCCTGTAGTCCCAACTGCTCAGAAGGATGATACATGAGAAGCGCTTAAATCCTGGAAGTGGAGGTTGCAGTGAGCTGAGATCACACCTCTATACTCTAGCCTGGACAACAGAGCCAGACCCTATCTTTAAAAAAAAAAAAAAAAAAAAGAGGTACTTCATGCCTTCAAAGAATTTATAAGACTAGTACACAAAAGGGAACATATAAACAGGGCAGGATGCAGGTATAAGAGAGCACTACAATGATGCAGAAGTTAGTGAGGTTTATGTAGTGTGGTTTATGTATTTGTTATTATCAATGTGTGTATCATACTAGACTGGAATTCAGGACTTACCATATTACTTAATTTTCCTAAATCAAATTAAACGTAACTCTGAGCTCTCCATTAGCTAGGAAGATTGAGAAATTCTCTGTCCTGTTTGCGGATTCAGATTCTAGAGTCAGCAGGAATCTTTCTTGGTGCCCAGAAAATGGAGAGAAGGAAAGGCCTCTGGTCTTCTATCTATAGTGGTGACTGCAGAGATGTCTGTCATTGTATTACACTTTACAAAAAAGTCACCCATAGAAAAAGCAAAAGCAGTATTTTAGTTTAACGGTCCAACCCTATGTAGTTCACTCAAGGACAGGTGACTCTGAAACTTACCTGACAAGCATGGACCTGCAGTCTTTCAGTCTTCAAGGCTATCGCTTGGCTATTATATTAGTCAGGGTTCTTCAGAGAAACAACCAATCGGAGAGGAAGGAAGGAAAGGGAAGGGAATGGAAAGGAAAGGAAAGGGAAAAGAGGAACGAAAAAGAAAAATCTAGAAAGAGATGAATTATAAGGTATTCGCCATGGAATTATGGAGGCTGAGAAATCCCATGATTTGCTGCCCACAAAACCTAGGAAGGCTGGAGGTGTAGTTGAAGGCCTGAGAGCCAGAGAGCTCAGGGTGGTGCCTCCATCCAAGCCTCCGAAGATGGTGTGCTTCAGTCCCTCATTACTCAGCTGACCACCTGGGAGCTTCTTAGAAATGAAAACTCTCGATAGATTGGACAAAGAAAATGTACATATACATCATGGAATACTACAAAGCCATAAAAAAACTATGAGTTCATGTCCTTTGTAGGGACTCGGATGAATCTGGAAACCATCATTCTCAGCAAACTGACACAAGAACGGAAAACCAAACACCGCATGTTCTCACTCATAGGCGGGTGTTGAACAATGAGAACACGTGGACTCAGGGACAGGAACATCACGCACTGGGGTCAATTGGGGGGTCTAGGGGAGGGACAGCGGGCGGTGGGGAGGGTGGCAAGGGATAATGTGGGGAGAAATGCTGGATATAGATGAAAGGGAAATGGAGGTAGCAAACCACCTGGTTATGTAAGTGCCTATGCAACAACCCTGCATGATCTGCACCTGTACCACAGAACTACAGTACAATAAAACAAAAAAATGAAAACTCTCGAGCCCTGCCCCAGATCCTTAAGTTCAGCATCTGCATTTTAAAGGATCCCCAGTGATTCATGTGCTGTTTATGTTGGAGAGGCCACGCCCCAGACTCTTTCTGTCTTGTTTCTTGCACGGCTGTTATTTAGAGGCATTGTCTCTTAGCTGTCCCAGAGGAAAAGCATCCTGATAAATATATCCTCTCTCAGGTATTCCTGATAATGACCTAGCCTAATGTCTAGATGGAACTTAAACTATTACTCCTAAAAGCCCTAACTCAAAAGCTAACTCACTGTGGGATTTTAGGCAAACTGGGTTCCTGAAAAAGGAGTCTTTGAGGAAGTATGTTCCCTCTAGTGTTTCTCAAATCATACCAGAGAAAGCATTTTAGAGCAGTAGGATATAAACTCCGAAAAAGATTATTTAAAAAAATGATTAAAGGATATAAACAAGAATCTAAGAACTGTGTCTCTGCAGTTTTCTTAACCCTAAATTGCTTTTGCAATTTCAGATAAAGGGCACAATTACAACATCTCAGGGATTGTATTGTGAAATTTTGTTTCTGATCCTGTCCAGGAAATTAAGCATTTTTAGAGAGAAGAGCAAAGGTTTTATCTATTATTGAACACTGCCTATCTACCCATGAATTTTGTAAAGTACCATAGTTCCATAAAATTTAGACTTCAGAGTCTGAAAGTACAAAACCATAAAAATACAAAACTTAAGCAAGTAAAGCAAGTATTATACTTTAAACTATACTAATGACAAATACTCCAGCCTATAGGTCTAAAGCTCAGAATTCTAAACACACAGATAGCTTGATGCTTCATGATAAAATTCTATTGCAACGCAAGCCTAGACAAGTGATTTTTTTTTTTTTTTGAGATAGGGTCTCACTCTGTTGCCCTGCTGGAGTGCAGTGGCATGATCTGGTCTCACTGCACCCTCTGCCTCCTGGGTTCAAGAGATTCTCCTGCCTCAGCTTCCTGATTAGCTGGGATTGCAGGTGTGTGCCACCACGCATGGCTAATTTTTGTATTTTTAATAGAGACTGGGCTTCACCGCATCAGCCATGCTGGTCTCAAACTCCTGGCTTCAAGTGATCTGCCTGGCTCAGCCTCTCAAAGTGCTGGGATTACAGGCGTGAGCCACCATGCCAGGCCTTTAGCCAGGTGATTTCTTACTGCAACCCATTCTTTCTTTCAAACCAATGAAAGTCCATGGACTTGTAACTGGTTATTTCACACACAATAGTACCTAATCTGCCTGTATGACACTGTTTAACGTTTTCTGGAAAGTTGGCCTAGAGATTGAGGATGTTGAGGAAGATTTTAAATATCACTGAAAGTTACACAAAAGAACTAGTAGTAAAACCAAGAGCCTAAAGCAAGATGTTCTTTCTCCTTTGGGAAAGGAATTCAGTTTAGTTAAACCATCAAATAAACATTTATGCATCCCTATTGTACTTTGGAAATGCGAGAAGTTACCACAGGAGGAAGCTGTGTACAAGGGATTTTTGGTACTATTTTTGCAACTTCCTGTGTGTCTGTAATTATTTTTAAATAATTTTTTTGAATTATGGACGTCTACCAGATGCCAGGCATTGAGGAACATACTCAGGGCAGGGATGGTCTGACACTTTATGACCTGGGTGGGGAGGCTAATCAATACACAAGTAACTGAACAAAGATAGCCTGCGTAACAGTGTACAAAGTGCTCTGGTTGTGTAGGAATAGGAGGATTAAAATGGAAGACTCTGAGAGGTCATTTTCGAGAAGGTGGCATTTAAGCTGAGTCTTGAGTGACAGGCAGTGTGATAGGGATAATAAGGGATTGAGGGTACTCCCTAACAGGGAACAAATAAGAGTGGGTTTGGGGACAGCCAGTGGGGTCAGGCAGCTGGAACATGAGAGAGGGAGAAGAACGGGGGAAGAGATATTAGGGAGGTAAGACTAGGAGGGTAGAGTGGGCCTTCAAATGCCAAGGGAGGGAGGCTGGACTTTATCAAAGGCTTCTGAACAAGGGAATATATCATTAGTTTTACTAAATTTAGTACAATAATTTTGTCATGATATTTAGAATGGACTGGAATGGCACAAAACCAACATGATATATAGAAATTCAACTGTTCCATATTGACAAAAGTACCCACTAACGTCCTACATTTAATACATTTAAATTAATAGGTGGCATTTTGCAGTCATTGGGAACATAAGCTCTGAAATCAGACTACATGGGCTTGAATCCTGGCTTTACCGCTCCACTAGCTGTGCAGTCATGGGTAAGTTTTTGAACCTCACTATGCTTCAATTTCCTCATCTGTAAAATGGGGATAACAATAGTCTCTTTCATAGAGTTTTTGCAAGGAGTAACCGAGATAACTCCTGATATTTAGAACAGTGCTTAGCATAGGATAGAAACTCATAAATGTGAGCTACCAGTTTAACTCAAGAAAAGGGGGAAACATAGTATATATCAATCACTATGCAACAACCCGTGAAAATGGAAGGGGGCCATGACGCAAGAAATAAAATTAGGAAATCTCTAATATACTTTTTTGACATTAGAGTATGTTAGAGAGGGCTAAGGTAGAAGAAATAAATATGACTTAGTATGTCTCGAATTAATTTGAAATTTCCTAAATTTCAGCAAAGAAGCACAGGGAAAAATTACCTTAGAGAATGATGAGTACTTAAAAAAATGGTTTTTATATTTATACTTTTACTATTTTTAAATTATGACATTTCATATTTGTAGAATATACAAATATTTATGCCATCTATATGTAGATATAGATGTATGTATATGTAAATAATATAAATACATATGTAGATATATATCATATATATGCTTGGCATAGGATTATATATATGTAGATATATATAGATATAGATGGCATAAATAATAGGAAAATGAACACACTACTACACAGTTAAAAAACTGTGATTGAGACGGCTTGATGGCTTCCTGCAATACTCACTGTCTCACTTTTCAATAATAATAGAACTGTTTTGGCCAATTGTGGTGGCTCACACCTGTAATCCCAGCACTTTGGGAGGCCAAGGCAGGATTATCATTTGAGATCAGGCATTTGAGACCAGCCTGGCCAACATGGTGAAAACCCATCCCTACTAAAAATACACAAATTAACTGGGTGTGCTGGTGCATACTTGCACTCTCAGATACTCAAGAGGCTGAGGCAGGTGAATCACTTGAACCTGGAAGGATGTTGACGTATGTTCAGATTGTGCCACTGCACTCCAGCCTGGGCGACAGGTCAAGACTCTGTCTCTAAATAAATAAATAACAGAAATTTTAGCTGGGCAGATGGCTGTCTGGCTAAAGATTGCATTTGCAGGCTCTTTTGCAGTTAGGCATAGTAGCCATGTGGCCAGGTTCTGGCCAGTGGAATGAGAGCAGAAGTGATGTGTGCAACCTTTGGTCATGGCCTTCAGAAGAAAGGAGCATAGCAGCCCTTTCTCTTTTTCTCCTTCAAATTGGTTGGGAGTTGTGGCTGGCCACTTTTGACCACAAGATCAAGGACAACATCCTAACGGTGCCAGACCAACAAAATGAAAGAAACCTGTGTCTCTGACACCATTGAGCTGCCATGAAGCCCTACCATGCCTATCCAGACATCAGTGTGGGAAAAATCAACTTTTATTTCCTTTAGGCTGCTGTAGTTTGCCTAGCTGCATTCTAAAACAATTACCAATACCTTTGAAACCTGCCATATGCCCCTCTACAATTGCATTTCCTTTCCTCTCTATCAGGAGTAACCACTGGCAGGATTGTACTTGTAATTCTTTTTCTTTTCCTCATAGCTTTGCCACATGGGAACTGTGAAGTGTAGTTGCATGTTTTTTAACATTATATAAGTAAAATAATACTGCGTGCATTTTGTCTATGACCTGCTGTTATGGACGGGATGGTATCCTGCCCTTACTCCACCCCCATTCATATGTGGAAGCCCTAATCCTCCACAGTGTGATGGTATTTGGAGATGGAGCCTTTAGGATATTGGATATCACAAGGGTGGGGCCTTCATGAGGGGATAAGTGCTTTTATAAGGACTTTATAAGGAGACACCAGAGAGCTTCCTCTCTCTCTCTCTCTGTGCCATGTGAGAACATACAAGGTGGCCATCCGCAAGCCAGGAAAAGATCCTCACTAAGAAACACACTTTGACTTTGGACTTCCCATCCTTCAGAACTGTGAGAAATAAAGTCCCGTTGTCTAAGTGATTCAGTCTATGGTATTTTGTTATGACAACCCAAGCTGACTAATATATCTGCTTTTTTTTTTCACTCGATGTATGCTTGTGCAATTCATTCATGTTCATAAGTGTACCTATAGTTCATTAATTTTTTTACTGCTATATTAAACTTGCTACATAATATTAAATTACTTGAAAATGCCAGTTTACTTACCCATTCAGTATTAGTGGACATATAAGTTATTTACAGCTTTTGGTTATTGTACAACAAAGGTATCATGAATATTCTTATACCTATCTCCTATGATACCTGTGCAAGAATTTCTTTAGGATATATTCTCGAATCAGAATTGTGGTATCGGAGTATATGCATGTTCAACTTTATCAGAAAATGCCAGGTTGTTTTTTAAGTGGTTGCAACCATCTAGTCTTCCTAGCTAACACTTCCACTCAGGTAGGGCACATATAAGTTCTGGCCAATGAGATGTATAATCCAACAGTCCCCTTATCTCCAGGGGATATATTCCAAGACCCCCAGTTGTTGCCTGAAACTATGGATAGTACAGCACCCTATACATACCATGTTGTTTCTATTGGATAACCAAGATGGCTAATAAATGACTAACGGACAGGTGGCATATATAGTAGGGATACGCTGGACAAAGAGATGATGTATGTCCTGAGTGGGGAAGAGGGGGACTGTGTGAGATTTCATCACACTACTCAGAATGGCATGCAATTTAAAACTCATACATTGTTTATTTCTGGAATTTTCCATTTAATATTTTTGGACTATGGTTGACTGTGGGTAACTAAAACTGCAGAAAGTGAAACCAGGGACAAAGGGGGACTACTGTATGGAGCAGTACTGTTTGGGACTTTTGGAGAGGCACCCCAGTTTGTTCCCCAGCCAGTGGTATCTACCTTTTTTTTTCCTCTCCTCTTCCTACTTCCTGCTGCTTGAAATGCAAATAGGATGACGGAGCTTCACCAGCCATTCTGAACCATGAGATGACCTTATAGATACAAGTCAGAGAGGATACTGGAGCAGAGACAGAAGAGCCTGAGTTTCTGATGACCATGGAAAAATCGTACCAATCTTGGAGTGCCAATTCTTTACTTCTTTTATGTGAGAGAGAAATATTTTCTTTACATTACCATGTTCCAGGGTTTCTGCTATAGAAACTGAACATAGCCCCGTTGATTATTTTTGTTTCTGATTGATTTTTAGGAGTTCTTTATATAATCTGGGTACTAGTCATTGTGGGTTTTATTTGAAGGAAATGCCTTTTCCCAGTTTATGGCTTGCCTTTTCATTCTCTTTATGATGTCTTTTGATGTACATTAGAAATTATTTTTAATATGGTAATATTTGCTAATCTGAAAAAGGATTTTTCCTTGGACAATTCATGGCATTGGTAAATTAAAAAGTAGGTACTGTCAAGTTCACTGCACATAAGCCGGCATTGCTAAAAGTGATCTCCATCATTCCATTTCCTTTCCTGCATTTGTCAGCATCGCTTTTTACATTAAAGATGAGGAGATACATATTCCTCAAACATACATGCTTGGTCTGTAGACATCCTCATTGCTCTAAGGCAGTGGTTGCCACTTTTCTCCTTAAAGGGCCTAGTAGGACATATTCCAGGCTTTGCCAGCCGTATGGTCTTTGTCACAACTGAGTTCTGCTGCCTCTGTAGCATGAAGGCAGCCAAACAATACGTAAGGAAGAGACATGGCTTTATTTGTGGCACTGAACTTTGAATTTCATATAATTTCACATCACAAAATAGTATTCTTTTGATTTTTTCCCCAATCATTTAAAAATGTAAAAACCGTACTTAGCTGGAGGGCTGTCGGAAAAGAGGTGGTGGGCTGGGTCTGGCCCACAGGGACCAGTTTGTGGACCCCTGCTGCACTTGCTGATAGAGGTTGCGCCAACAAGCGTCTTGGAAGCAATTTCTGGCTGGTCCTAGGCCTTGGAAAGTGCGTACAGATCAGAACCATGAAGTGAAGAGCAAAGCAAGTGACAGGCCTGTCTCAGGTTGTGCAACAGAACATGTTTATGACAGATGTCCCCTGTCCAAGTGAGTTCATTGTGAGATAAGGGGCCAGTGACCCACCAATGCGTAGCAAGCCGGCTCCCCCGGTGTCCCCAGGACACGTCTGGGTTCCTGCCCTCAATTCCAGGGAAGATCGTGTGTAAAAATATCCAACCTTGGTATCAAATGCGCTGGAAAAAAAAATAGTTATTGGGGTTTCAGCCATTCTGTCTCCTTGTTAGATAGTGTTTCTGAGCCCTGATTTTCAGTTTCAAAACCTTGGTCTCTGAACCCGCAGTGAGGGGGTCTCCAGAGCGAATATATGGCAGGGCCGCCTTCCTCCATGCAGGAAGGGAGAATTGTGTTTACCAAGCAGGTGACCCCAGACCTGCAAATATGTGTTCCCACACGAAAACCCCCAGGCTCCGCGGGCAGCCAGCGTGGTCCTGCAGTGGTTGACCCAGGGCGACCGGAGTCGGGTTCCCACCTCTAGGAGAGGAGCCGGCTCTGTCGTGGTGCACCCTGCGAGGACACTCCCTCAGGGCGTAATCCGACGCCCGCCCTGGGTGAAGAAATCAGACCTCAGGCTCTTTACAGCCGGCGGACCTCGATCGCCAATCGCAAATTGCCGTAGGCGGGCGGCGAGGTTGACCCGCGTGCGCCGCGCCCGCCTCCCCGCCCCTAGCCGGACCCCTTCCCAAGGCCCCACCCCACCCGCGAGACGCACCCGCGGCCCCACCGCTGCGGGGGCGGGGGCCCGGGAACTCGGGAACGACGGACCCGGGCAGCTTGGCCTGACCTAGACCTCGCCGCGCGGGCCCCACTGGCGCAGGCCCGGGCCGCGAGCCCCTCCCTCCACCTCTCCCCGCCCCCAGCGCCCAGCGCGGGCTGCACTAGGTGGCGTCGGCGGGGCCCCGCAGATGGCCATGGCGGCAGGCGCCGGGGCTAAGCCCGCGCCGCGCTGGCTGAGGGCGCTGGGCGAGCCGCTGAGCGCCGCGCAGCTGCGGCGGCTGGAGGAGCACCGCTACAGCGCGGCAGGCGTCTCGCTGCTCGAGCCGCCGCTGCAGCTCTACTGGACCTGGCTGCTCCAGTGGATCCCGCTCTGGATGGCCCCCAACTCCATCACCCTGCTCGGGCTCGCCGTCAACATGCTCACCACGCTCGTGCTCATCTCCTACTGCCCCACCGCCACCGAGGAGGTAGGGCTGGCCGCTCGCCCGAGCCCGGCCCCAGATGCGCCGCGGGCGGGGCGTTGGAGGCGCTGGGGAGAGGGCAGAGCCACGCGCGGCTGAGCCTCTCCCGGGCCCCGGAGGGGCAGACTGGCTACTGCTCCCTGCGGTGTCCGCCCCGCGCCGCCTGGAGACTGTCACGCCCCTATCCCAATCCCGTGACCATTTCGAGCCTCCCCCGGGCAGCGGAGGGTTGTCAATGTCACTACCCCGGTCCTAAGTCCGCGCAGGGGCTGGAGGGCGCCTGCCCAGCCGCAACCCCATGCGGCGCCAACCTGTGGGATGGACCTGCGGTCGGGTGCTTTGCACACTGGGGACTGAACACCCCCATCTCCGTCCTGCCCCACAGGGACTTGTGCCAAGCCTGAGACGCTCTTTGAATACTTTCATAACCCTTCGTTTCTGGAAGGTTGAGCTAGTGATTCTGAAATGACTGAGTAGCACTGATCAAAGATAAGTTACTTTTAAAAGAGGTAACTTCCTCCTTGCTTCATCGACCTTTTCAAGAAAAACAGACTGGAATGTTATCAAGGGGATTTTTTTTTTTTTTGTCATCTTAACCTAGGGATCAAAAAAACCCCCAACATTTTATTAGCAATAATTATATATGACCTTTGGGCAAAATAAGGAGTAAGTATGGGGTTTGGGCTGACTGTGGAGGGTTAGAGGACAAAGTGGAGTTCATTCCCATCTATAGTTTATACTGCGTGGGATAAATATTACATGGCACATTTCGTGACAGCCTTTGTATTCTTTGCTCCAAATAGTGAAGTCCCTTTATAATCATTTAAGTATAGGCCTTGTGGAGGACTAATGGAGGTTGAGGTTGGATTATAGGAAATATTTCGTGCCCTCCACGCATGCATCCGTTTTGTTGTTGTTGTGTTGTTGTTGTTGAGACAGGGTTTTGCTCTGTCATCCAGGCTGGACTGCAGTGGCTCGATCTAGGCTCACCGCAACTTCTGCCTTCAGGGTTCAAACGATTCTTCTGCCTCAGTCTTCCAAGTAGCTGGGATCATAGGCAAGGGCCACCATGGCCGACCAATTTTTCTATTTCTAGTAGATACGGGGGTTTCACCATGTTGGCCAGCCTCATGCATCCTTTTAAAAAATATTTGATTGAGCCTACATTTTAAAATATCTTGTCAATTGATCAATATGCTTATTATTTATTTCTTTTATTTCTTTTTTTTTTTTTTTTTTTGAGACAGAGTCTTGCTCTGTCGCCCAGGCTGTAGTGCAGTGTGGTGATCTCGGCTCACTGCAACCTCTGCCTCCTGGGTTCAAGCGGTTCCCTTGCCTCAGCATCCTGAGTAGCTGGGACTACAGGTGCCTGCCACCATGCCTGGCTAATTTTTATATTTTTAGTAGAGATGGGGTTTCACCATGTTGGCCAGCCTCATCTCAAACTCCTGACCTCAAGTGATCCGCCTGCCTCAGCCTCCCAAAGTTCTGGGATTACAGGTGTGAGCCACTGCACAGGCATATTTTATATTTCTTAATAGACAGTCCCATTGTCATTTGCCACTGGTATTCACTTACAAATAAAAAAATAAGCTGCTTTAGTGTTTGGTTGTTTTGCTGTCTGTTTCTAGAATTTCCCAGAGGGAGTGTATCAGAATGAAAGGATTGCTGGGTTGGAAGTGGAGGTCCTGGTTTCTAACTGGCTCTTCCACAACAGACCTGCTGGGTCTGTGTTCCCATATATAAAATAGAAAATAATGCCTGCCAAACAATTTGACAAGAATGCAGTGAGGACCAAATGCTATACAGACAGATAAATGTAGAAGATTGTAATGTGCCTAACAAATTAAAAATATTACTCAACACATTGAAAATATTACTGTTGTTAGACAACATCCTGAAAACACATAATAAAATTTAGTTTTGATTGGGCCCACATTCGGCTAACAGCATTTGGATGTTTCTGATATTGGCCAGTTAAGTGTGGACTCTTCAATGTTATTATTAACTTAAGAAGCATTTGTTGAGCACTTAGAAAGAACAGGGCATACAAAAAGTCAAGACCTTCTGCTTAGGAAGGTAAAGGGAGGCCTGGTGGAAGAGGTACATTTGTGATTCATTAGTTTTTAGGCTTAGCCTCATGTGAAAAAAAAAAGGGGGTAGAGGATGGGGATTGGAGGCATTTAAAAATAAAGTGCAAAATCAAATGGCCCAGGAAGGGGAAATGAGAGTTAAAATAAAAACGAGTTTCTGAAATTATGTCATTAGAACTTGCATATGCTTCTAAGTGACTGATGCAGGGGGGGAAATGCCATTACCAGATCCGCATTGCTTGTTTGGTAAAAGCCCAGCAATAGTGTGAAGAGCATAGCAGTTTCTGACTATTTTTCCTTAAGATCATAGAACTAGTAAATGAGTGGATCAGGTAGGATTCAGATCTAAGTTGGTATGACTTCAAAAATAAAATATCTAATGTTTTATATAATGCAAGTATGTTAAGTGCTTTCACATCCATGGTTGCATTTGTGTCTTGTATCAACCCAAAGAGATTGGCAAGTTTTCCCCTCCTGCAATGGCCTTCCTACCATCTCAGTGTTTCTTCTATCCATCTATCCTAAAGTCACAGTAGTATATGTTTTCCTAAGAAGAAATTGAAGCCCAGAGATGTTAAGTGACTTTAACTTGGCTTGGGACTTGTTTTTTGATTCTCAGACATAAGAATTCTTAGTGCTTTTTCAGATTTGACAGATTGCTTCCAGAAAGGGTCAGAAAAAAATACAAGGGTCAGAAAACGTAAGGTTTTTGGATTTAGATGCTTGAGCTTATCTACTCATATGGGCTTTAATACTGACTGCATTAATAATAACATTTGATATGTTTTTAACTACCATGCTAATTTCTAGAACATGACTGGGGATGAAAGGAAACGAACAGAAAAAAGGTTGTGATTTATATGTAGCTTCTGCAAATTGCTTTTCTTTTCTATCTTTTTTTTTTTTTGAGTTGGAGTTTCTCTCTTCTTACCCAGGCTGCAGTGCAATGGCGCGATCTCGGCTCACCGCAGCCTTCGCCTGCTGGGTTCAGGCAATTCTCCTGCCTCAGCCTCCTGAGTAGCTGGGATTACAGGCAGGCGCCACCATGCCCAGCTAATTTTTTGTATTTTTAATAGAGACGGGGTTTTACCATGTTGACCAGGATGGTCTCGATCTCTTGACCTCGTGATCCACCCGCCTCGGCCTCCCAAAGTGCTGGGATTACAGGCGTCAGCCACCAAGCCCAGCCTGCAAACTGCTTTCAAGCCATCATTTCCATTAAGGAACTTTCTACTCCAGCCAAATTAAACTTTGTGCTATAGCAAGGATTTCTCTCCTTCTTGTCCCTCTCTTTCCTTCTTCCTCTTCCTTTCTTCTGTACCACTTATTCAACTATGTACCCATCTTTCAACACCCAATTCTAACATGATATCCTTATGAAAGTTATCTGCTTTCTCCTAAGTCAAATCAACCACTCTGAATTCCCATGATAATGACAATAATAACTAACATTTACTGGATATTTAAGCTGTATCAGGCATGATGTTAAGTCACTTTTATTTTACTATCTCATTGAATCCTCTCAACAACCTTATGAAAAAGGCATTAATATCCTCTTTATAGATGAGGAAACTGAAGGAAAATTAACCTCTTCTATAATCACAGGATTCCAAGCCAGAGCTATGCTTCCTTTATAGGGCTTTGTAGCTCTCCTGTGGATCTTCACCATTTTATTTTGGTTATCTGTGTTCTTATTAGGCAGGACAGCCTACCAGATTTTAAGTCCAGGCAGCAATTGCTCATACGTTTGTATAATCTCCATAGCACAGTGCTTTACATCAAACAGATGCTTAGTAAACGTTTTCTAAATTGTTGCCTGCATGAATGAAATAACACAACATAATCTCAAGAGATGACGTTTTTCAACCCTTATTCAGTTTTAGCTGTTCTTGGCTTAAATACTTAGCAGTTATTTGGCCTTGGTAATTTTAAGTAGAGTACGCAAATGTTAGAGTGAATGGAGAAAGCAAGAACTTTGTCTCCTCATTTTGATGAAGCAATTCTATCTGAACATCACCCTAAGTGTGTAGTCCCTGGACCCCATTCCTAGATTCTTAAAGTTTGGAAGGATCTTAGAGATTATTTAATGTCATTCCTACATTTATATATGTGATAACTCAGTGATTTGAATCTAGTTCTTCTGGCACTAGCCTAGTAGCATTCTCTCCTCCTCACTCCGTGCACTTGTGTTTGACTGGTATAAACTGTTATTCCATTCTCTATTACATATTTGATTAAATGTTTTTGTCCTGTCTTCTTGATCTGTGCATAAAAATCCATGTCAACGTCTTTGTTAAGAATATGTTTATAGCAGGGACAAGTGCCTAGCTTAGGGTCAGGTCAAAGGGCATTAATTAATATATTTCTTGTGTTTATGATGATAAAAAGTTGTCCTGAAAAGTGATTATACCTGAGGATGCCAGAAACACCTTAAGAAATGGCTTATTCTCTGTTAAAATAACTCCTATTTAAATAACTCATATTTTAAACAGAGAATAAACCATTTCTTAAGGTTGCCCTTGTACTGCGTATTACCTGTGTATTACATATGGAAGAGTTATTTTGGGGTGGAATAATAGGAAAGAAAAGGAAATAACCTGTAGATTCCTACTCAGACTTTTTTTTAAAAATAGGTTTAGTTTCTTTGAGATCTAGTATATTTCCTTTTTATCACTCTTTTATTCCCTCTTTTTGTAAACCAGCTCAGTAACTTTTCAAGCATCATTTATTAAGGCAGGACTCTTGTAAGGGAGTGACCTCTCTCATTAAAACAAAACATAAACTCTAGATTTTCAGGAGACAGAAGCAGGGAGGGACTTAGGATCAGGCAAGCCAGGTCTCAGAATTTAAGGAGACCTTTGCAGGACCATGAGAACGAATGCCTCCTTAACTTCTGCAGCCATTTGGTGCCTCCTTGCGTCACCCCCTAGACCCCGGCCATCTAGAAGGAGCTTCTTCAGATATTGTGGAAGTAGCTTCCCTTGATTCCTATGACTTCACTCTACTTAATTCCTAAAGAATAAAACTGTTTCTCCTTTCAAATTCTGGTTCAAGTATGGATAAAACATGGCATTGTGGTATATAGAAAAAGCTTTGAATTTTCCTCCTGGTGCATTTGATTGGGCTATAAGGCTACAACCAGACCACTTGGGTTTTGTGAAGTTAAAGAACAGAACAGAAGCAACCCAATACAATTGATGTGGATGATAGATTTGGCCTCAGGGGAATTCTCTTCACACCCCTCTCTCTTTTTGTTCCCCTTAGCACAGTGATAGGCTGGCATTTTCAACGAGAACCCTAGTAAGCATTAAGGAAGAAACAAAACCAAAATGATCCACATTAAATATAAAAACAAAAGCCACCTTTCAAAGTACGGATTTCTTAAGTTATGAGAAAATCCTGTTGGCTCT